ACTTTAGGAATTTCTGGGTGGGGATGTGCCGCTGGGAGCCTGGAACCCTTAACCTTTACCAGAGCTAGTTCAGCTGAATTTTGCTACCCTATACTAAAGTAACCTCCCCAAATCCCCCTATCCTAGAGTAGCTGTGTACCTAGTCTAGATAAAATCTTCAACCAACTGATCAGTTTCCTGAAAAATGATACCCTATTCTAGAGCCAAACGCTCTGATTTATATACCCTATCCTAGAGTAAACTGCTTGAAAACCATACCCTTCACAGCGGCACATACCTATATAGCCCATATATGGCAGTACCCCGTCGGGGGAGCAACACGAGCCCTCAGACTTGGAGAGCGCCCCAGCCCTCAAGATTCATCCAAAATACTTCGTCATACCGTTTTACAAATTCAAAGCAACCCGCTTTGCACAAATAAAACAACAATAAGCTACAACGCCACTATTACATTTTGCGCGGGAGACGGCAAAGGAAAGAGCGACACATGTCAAAGGGACAGTGGAGGACCATTTGTTCGCGAAATCAGAAGAGGACGGTAAATGCGTCGGTTAGTCATTGGTATTGTCAGCTGGGGCGAGGGGTGCGCTCAAAGGGATAAGTACGGATAGTACACCACAGAATATCCATTTCTTGATTGGATCAACAGAACTATCGAAGGCTTTAAGTATAAGATAGTTTAATTACGATTAAATAATGACTTGATACTGGGTAACTTGTAGAGGTTATGTCCTTCTTTGGTCATAATACTGTCACAGATAATTTTTTTTATATCATTGTGGATCATATCCTTATTTTGTCAGAATGGCTGCTGAGTTGTTGTTCGATTAATGGACTCGTTGGGCTAGCAAACGTTACGCGTTTACACACAAAAGAACAAAAGCTACATCTCCACTTCGAATCATCCTACCACATGATGGTAGAAGGGTAATAAACCAGCCGAACAGACCTAATTTAGCTTTTATGTTTTAGTTTTTCCATTTCAGACCACGTGGTATAGTACCCCAAAGAACCGCCCTATCCACGTGCATATGTATGCATAATTTATAAAAAGACAAAAAGGAAATTCCCTTGAGAACATCCCGTGCTCTAAACTGGGAAAACAAAAAAAAGCTCTCTTGCTCCATTCAACAAGTCCACCAATCAAACAAGGATACCTCGTGCTTTCTGTTCACAGTGAGACCCATTCAAGCATTCCTAGCCCAGGAAAAAACGTTGACTTCATTGTTGGTTTCAGTCAATATTACGTTCTTCAGTCGAAAAATTAAAAATTAAATCAATCTTCGATTCAACAATCGAATTCTGGTTGATGAATTGTATTTACATTGTTCTTTTATTTATTTCAGCTTGTACGAATATTATGTCTGACACCCAGTGCCAAGAGTGGTCCAACAACAGACGCTGCTGTATTTACTTCGTGGCTCACTTTTGTAGAAAGACTTGTCGCAATTGTTATTAAAAAGCCCATGGACAAGATTATGGCTAAAAAAAAGGACTTCAGTCACATCGAGAAGCAATTGCGCGCAGAAAGTAGCCAGCAATTACTGAACTAAAAATATATAATCATGTATACGTATAATATATTTCTGTTGTTGCAAAAACGTTGCGGCAATCATAGCTTATATTTGTTCCTTTAGCGATAAAACTTCTTGAAATCTTTATTCCGTTCAAGTGTTCAGTTAACAGCGATTCCTTTTTTAAGTGCAGTGCCGCGATTTTGTGGTTACCTTAGCAGAAGTCGTAGTGGAAGGGGTAATGGCAGTGGCTGTGGAAGTGATCGTAGTAGTTATAGTGACAGTGGAAATGATAGAGGTGGTCGAAGTGGAAGAGCAGGTGCAGGTGGACTGAGTGGTAGTGGAAGTGGCAGTGGTAGTGGAAGTGATAGCGGTAATAGTGGTAGTGGTGCTGTAGTGGTGGTGGTGCTGTTGCTGGTGGTTTTGGTAGTGGTTGTGGTAGTGGTAGTAGTAGTATGGTAGCTGCAATACTAGTACTCAAGTCTGCAGTGGTGGTAGTTATTTAGTGTAAGGGGTATTAGGGTTTTACAAGCTAATTGGGGACACCTCAGTCACCATAAAGATTAAAGTCAAATTTATGATGCGATAGTTTTAGAGGTGCATTCCAGTAGGGAAGTGCTTAAAACGGACTAACCCTCGAACCGCTTTATATAGTCTAAGGCAAGCGGCAAACGTATCCACAGTAAATATGTTTGCCAGTTTTTTATGTATGTATATCCATAGAAGTCAATACAGATGTCAACTAGTCACGACTCTAATAAAACCCACTGATTAGCGGTGGTTCTACTTACTCGACGAACGCGAGTTGGATAAGATAGTATTGGAATAGCCGTCGGGCTATCCAACCGTGGGTGAGTGGATTTCAGTTGATATCAATCGTCAAATCGTAACGTTAACACAAAATTTACCATTACTCAGCAAAATACCTTAAATACAAGGAATTTAAACCATAGTCTCTTTTCACCTTGACTTTTGTATGCAATGATCGAACTTGCTTATGGGCAAGAAGGGACTGTTTCATGTTGCCGGAAGCGCTTTTAACAAATTGTTAAGTCTAAAAAAACTGAAGAGATTCGGGTCACTAAATGTGTTTCACAAACTTCCAAAACACTTTTTATTAATGGGTTCATGCAGAACTTTTTTATAGAGGGTCACAAAATGTTTCTTCAGAAATTTCAAAACAATATTTATAAAGGTTTTGCTAGATTTCTCTTAAAGACGGTCACAAAATGTTGCTTCAGAAATTTCCGACTGAAACAGTTTCTATGGCGATTGTTGCAGATTTCTTCTAAAGACGGTAACATACTGTTGCTTCAGAAATGTCCTAAACAGTTTCTAACCCGTTCTAATGCCAAGTGAAATATTTTAAAACGGGGAATTATGGCACAAATTCGACAATTAGGGGATAAAATTGCCAACAAAACATGAGAATCTGGTGAACATGAGGTCATTAATACGAGTTAGCAGTATTACTGTCAGCAGAAGAACAAAATGCACGTTATTTTTTCCATTTTTTGCCAAATGAGACATGTCACAAAAACAAGATGTTATTAAATGATTACCAGGTTTCTTGCTCTGAACCAAAGGATGGAAAATGTCTTTTACTGCAAAATACCTTATTTTCTTTCCTACTAAAAGTGGAAAGAAGTTGGAAGTTATTCTATTTTATTTCCATAAATAGAAATATACGGCAAAACTTGTAACTTTTTTCTAACAATGAGCTAGACTCTTGTTCAAACGTCATTTTATTCAAGCTGAAGAAACCATGGAAATTTACAACGTCGTTTTAGGAAAATCATCTTATTATTATCATGTGTACGTTACCAAATAACGTCTGACGAAACTCATTTCGTTCTTATTATAACCAAGATCAGAATTACTACAGATATTTGCTACAGTTTTGCATGTGTAAAATTCCTTGAAAGTCTGTTTTTGAAAAATTAATAATGGTTGTCATAAGACAGCTTGTTGTTGCAGTCGCGTGCGTAATCCACTAACAAACCACACACTTCTATTTATTTTTTTGACTACATCTCTTCATTTTTAACGTTCCAGGGCTTCCTTTCTTTTCTCGATTGGCCGTGATCCTTTCCAATGTTCAGTCTCGGAAAGCGTCTAATATAGCACACTTTTCACCCTACCCTATCAGTAAGTTATTTTTCTGCAGCCTTGTATGTTTGAAAACTGCTACAAATACGTGCCACTTATGCAAGAGACCAGCAGAGGAGCAATCAAGAGTATACGCTGTGATTATATACTGATATAGTATTCATGTATGGATGTCAGTTGACATCGATAATTCACAGATTAACAGCTATTGAATAGCTATTCCTCCCATAGGAAAACTTTTTTTCTACTTAGGAGGAAAGCAAAACTATGGCGTATTCCTATCCTTTCAAACAATTTCAGAAACTAACTTGGTATTTTGTAAAACAGCTTATCGTCAATAAAGGGTGGCTGCCAGTTTCCCGTCGCTGATAATTTTGTGTATTCCTCATCCAGTAGAGGAGCACAACCCAGAACTTACTCTCAAAGGTACTACTGCCAATACCGCTGAAAGTAAAAGAACCTCTCTCTTTCCTGTTTGAAAATGAACAGATGTTCAAACACATCGCTAGTGTTTGGATTACGTGCTTCTACAGAGGCTTCGGCAGTCACTGGATCAATGAGAACACTTGTCGCTGTACTTCAAAAGTGTACTCAGGCTCTTCCTAATTCTTACTCGCGTCGTAATTCCGACGAGATCAAAAGAGATCGCTTCTGGAATTATTTACGGGACCTCTTTTCAAATTCTCCCTCTGAGTTCCTAGCTAGGGGACTTTTCTTTTTGGTGTCCATAACTGAGTTGTCATAAAGACGTTTCTGATGCATTGCGAATCAGTCTAGCCTGCGTGGCAAGAGCAAAAAGGGAAGGGGAGGGGGAGGGAGAAAAGCGCGAAAGAGGGGAAAGGGGAAGAGAGCGACTGCTATAAGAGCCGGTGTTTTTGTATTCCGTCCACCATTTTCTCAACTAATCCGATAACGTCAACTGTCAATACGTGAGTCCCAAAGACACGTAGGGGTCGCTTCTCAGCGTGGTCCGAACTTAATTACTTTGTTTACCGGAAATTGTCAAGTCGAGACGCTTTTTTCAAGTGATATATCATAATCGAGCAAAATAAAACATTTTTGTAGTTTTTGCTCCAGCATCAAACACGACAAACAAAGACTACGAGCACTCTTTTTTACTACTTGCAGTCTACGGGAAACAATGATCAGTTTCGTGTGAATACATAAAACCTTTGGTCGTAACTCATCAAACACAATGGTCACAACGAACAGAACAGTGGCCAGCCTCAGACGTGAATAATGAAAGGAGTATTATAAACAATTGGTAAAAAGCTCAGCGGATAGTTTTTACCAAAGCTTCAGCTCTCTCTTTACAAACCATTTAGAAGTTCATTCAAGACGGTATATGTTTTTGCGGAAAAGGCAGTCCTGTGAATATCGGCATTGCAGAAGTCTGACAAGAATCGTAATCGCCTTGAATCACCGCTCGGTGTTTGGACAAACCCAGTATACAAAACCTCGTGAGCATCTCTGTCTACTAAACAGGCTATTACCGTAGGTTTTAGTTCGGATTTTAACGTGATCTTCAAAAGCTTATGTCACCAGAACACCGTTTCTTTGATGCCTGTAGCCTGCGGAAAAAGGGAAAAAGGGAGGGGGGTAGGGGACTTTTCCCTCTTTCGTGCTTTTCTCCCTCCCCCTCCCCCTCCCCTTTTTGCGCATGCCACGCAGGCTAGATGCCTGTATCATGTTTGTCTCTCACTAATACACGCCAGGAAACACGCCAATAAGTTGCTCATTACGGTTCAGCCAATCAGGAATTTGCGGACGACAGCGTCCGCAGAAATCAACAAAGTGGGGTTCTTATAGCAGGCGTCCCTTACCCTTTCTCCCCAATCCACATCCCTTTTTTGCTTTCTCCCTATCCCCTACCCCTTTCGACGCCTGCTACGCAGGCTATGCGAATCCTCTGAGTACACAACTGAATCAGTGAAGCTCGTAAGTCATTTGACCTTATTTCAGATCTGTCTTTCAATCAAATACTTAAATTTCCTGGGCGGCTTCTTGAAAAAATGCATTGCGCATACCACAAAGCCAAATTTTTCTTTTTTTACCGTGCGACAGTTGGACAAAATGCACGCAATTATTAAAACGTGTTTACCCAAATATCGTAGAGTGCATAAAAGAAACAAAAGAGAAAGAACAAAGAACATTGGAATCAGAGGCTTAAAGAACGATTTAAAGAAGAATTAAACAATCTGATTGGATGTTCGTGATGACGAGGAAAACGAGAATGAACAGAAAGAACACCAAAATATTAAAAGCCACTTTTCCGGTTTTCTGACATTACGGTTATATTATCTTGCACACAGGAGTGAAAGAAACATTATACATGTTTGTTGTTTTCTATTGACTTTAACATGATTATCGTATTATGCGCTAGAATGCCCTCTGTTATTCCGTTCAAAGAGAAAGGAGGGTGCGAATGGGGTTAACAATTAACTGATATTTGGCCAAAAAAAAACAGTATTTAACTGATAACTGGCCAAGAAATTAGTAGTTAACTGATAAATGAAAAGTTTACAGTTAAGTGATATTATATTAATGTTAATGATGCAAGAAAGTTTTCTAAACAGAAATGCTATTTTCTGACATTTTTTTGTCCCGCTGTTGACCCGGTGGCACATTGATATTACTATGAGCAAAAGGCACCAGGGCAGTACCCGACAACCAGAAAGCGTCAGTCAAAGAGCTAGTTGTAGACAACCCAACGAATAATTCGTCTTCTAATATTAACAAGATTTCTGTGTTCGGAAAAGGAAAATACTGTTTTCACGGATCCAAAAGATCGTCAAGTTAAAGGGACAGTGTCCCGATTATGCGCACGCGCGAGCATCATCTGTTTTTTCTTCAAAAGACAATAGAACTGTCAAATTGACTCGACAAGATTTCCTTCCGGACCGCACCGCCGACGGAGATTTGTTGTTTATATTCTCAGGCAATATTTTAGACTTTCGAAGAAATCTTTTGTCTTATTTACAAATTTGGCTTGCGGCAGGAAGACTCATTGCGATTTTATCGCTAGCAGGGCCGCCTCGCGACCCGAAAATCTCTTTCCGCTCGCTTTAAAAACAGATTTTCTAATGTGAAACTCGTGTCAGAGGTCAATTGTTCCAAGTCCAGTAATATCTGCCTGATTTGCTCGCGTTCTAGCCTCAAACGTTGGAAAGACACAAATAAAAATACAATCTCAACGCTATAAATCATCGCAAAGGTTAGTCAAAAAAATTATATTATGATTTCATGGAACTAGTTTCTCTAAACATGTAGCGCCTGTTTGTTTGATTTTGTCGGCCGTAGGGAGATTCATTTAAAAGTTTACTAACGCGTCGTTGCAAAACATTCTGCTTCAC